GAAAAATGAGGGGGGGGGGGGGTGATGATCCCAGAACCCTCACAAGGGGCCCAGAAGGTAACTCTCCTGGGCAGGGAACTCTGACAATTTAGAGATTTGAAAGGCATTTAACGGTTTTAAACGAGTCTCACACCACATAAATTAATTTTTTCCCTCCCCTACTTTCGGTTTTTTTCTCCCCGGCTGACGGGGGAGGGGGGAGGGGAGGGGATGTAGCCACTCAGACTCCACTGGCACCACCACTGATTTGGTCATTAGTGTTTTACTCAACATAACAATATAAATGAACTTTTTCCTTTATCATTATGGGTATCGGTATAGGCTCACAGTGTGCTTTACCTTGATGATAAACTGATTGGATTTTTTTTCTGCGTACTGTCATATACGAATTGACTGGGATTGACTCTTAAACATGGGATTTATTTTCTTCTTGTGTCATTCCATATAGATTCAAATCCAGTACAGTACAGTGGTGGATCCAGGAATTTTAAATATAGGGAGCCCAGAGAGGAACTTCACAGATGGAGAATGTAGACCATCTCAGTACCACCAGGTTGGGGCTGAGATAAGAAAAAAATGCATGATTATGTATGGCAACTCTAGATGGCCAGAAATGCCACTGTGAGACTTAAATTTGAATACAATTTTCTTTTTTGCACTATTTTTTTTATTTTGCAAAATTTAGGGGAGGGGGACCTGGGCAGTCCCCACCCCTGATTCCGCCACTTAATTCTATACTTTAACCCACACATTGCTTTCTAAGTCATTTACTTTATTCATTTTGCAATATCTGTCATCCCGGAAATGATTCTCAACTGTGGCGGGTACAGGAAGTCAAAATAGAGGGGTTCTAGGGAGGGTATTGCGCAAATAGAATGTCCTCCCGCCTCAGCCCCACAATTGTTGTGGGGCTGAAACAATTATGATTATGGCACCTCTAGATGGCAGGAAATGGCACTCTCAGATTAAAAGTTGAATACAATTTTGTCGGTTTTCTCCATTTTTAAAAAATAATTTTGAAAAAAAATAGGAGGTTGGGGTCACGTGCTGACTGGGTTAACCCTTGAATCTGCCACTGTTCAATATAACACTTGACATACCCTATCATTTTGTTTCACAAATGATTAATTCCTAATGTCAAGCGAAAGATTTTTTTATTCAAAAAATTTTTTTATTTACTCAATACAGTTTTTACAACCTATAAGACATTAACTACAGTGTACTGTAAATTCTGTTGTTAACCTTCAGAACTTTATTTTAAAAAATGGCCTAATTAAGTATCTTATTGTTTTCGTTAAATTAGATGGAGTTTAAATGTGGTTACAATACATTACGCTAGTTTGAAGGTTTACAGTAAGCCAATTAGTTACACTTACTATACATCTTCGTGGTTAGCATAAAGAGAATTGGAACGTCGCTCCATTAAGAGTGCCTACCCCCCCCCCCCCCCATATGCCTAAATACAGAATTCACGAATGCAGGGGATTTTTTTTCATGCTCGAGGGTGGGTTTCAAGGCAACTTTACAGACGCACGTATACAGACGTCAATCAACATTTGGTCAAAAAGAGAAAAAAAAATCTTATATTTTATAATACAGTAATAATAATAATAGGTAAATTTATAGGCGCAAATAAACAAGGTGTAAGCACGAAAATCACCAAATAATAATAATAGTAGTAATAATAATAATAGGCTCTAATAATAATAATAATTATAGGCCCTACTAATAATAATAATAATAATAATAATAAATAATAAATAATAAATAATAATAATAATAATAATAATAATAATAATAATAATAATAATAATAATAATAATAATAATAATAATGGCATTGCAGCGTTCGTAAAATGTTTGTCACTGTTGCTGGGAACAGTCACAAAAGTGGGGAGGCCAGGGCCCCTGCCCCACCCCCGCCTCCGTTAGAGGGAGGAGTGCACATAACCACTGCATTGATTGCTTCATTGACGATTGGCTATCACAGACAAACACCGCTTGAGAGATAGGTGACGTAACCTTAGGTAAAATGACAGGTTATTATTTGCCCTGTTAATGTAAAGTGACAAATCGAACGGTTACTCGGTTATTGTAACGGCGGCCTGGGGAAATGTAATTTAAGTAAACGTCAAATAATAATTATTAATAAAGCTTTAATTTTTTTCGCATAATAATGAAGGGTTTTAATTAATCACGAATATCGTACACGCAACATTGTAAATAAAGCAGTGAAAAAATACGTCAATGACCCATATATGAATATGATGACAGCAGAATAATGGGGTGGTAAATAGACCAATCAATTCTAAACACTGATTTTAAGGTCTGGGCGTCGTTAAATGACATTTACATGAAGAAGATGAAGAAAGCGAAATAATCGAGAAAAAAAATCCTTTTGTTCATCTTTATTCATGCAATTCATTCCTTCTCCTTAACAGTTACGGTTCAATTGATTCTTTAAAATACAATGCGTTATGTTGTTTATTTTAATGTTTTTTTTTTCAATTGCAATGGTTTAATTCCTCTTTATTAACAATACAAAGTAAAGCATTTGGAAAGAAGAATGCATGAGAGCAATTATTACACTTAAATGGCATGTACTGCTAAAACATGCATGTTTCAACAAGATTTTAAAAATATAGAAAAACAGTTAGACCTTGCCTAGGTGGTATTAAGCTTAAGAACTGTTGTGGTGTTTTACATATGTATTGGCTATCTGCACCGATAATAATAATAGTAATAATAGTCTATACATGTGCTCCTTTTGCTTCTTATCTGTTTATTGTAGGCTAATCAGTGGCCAACCCAGAAATTTGAAATGAGGCCTCCTCTATCCGCCACTGGTAATAAAATAGTGTGCAATACCATAATTATTCATTACTCACAAGTTAAAAACGAGGTATTGTCATTGAAGTGAACTTCCCATAGATATTGTTATAAAAGTATTGACATTTAATAATATTGATCTGAGGTTTGTTCATTAACTGAAATTTATTAACACCCCAGGCCACAATCAACAAATTGTAAATACAGCGTCACGCGAATGTTGGATATTACAATTAATATTAAAATACTGTTTTAGACGTAGGTTACGGTATGTTTGCATTTGATTTCATCTAAATCTAATATTTAAGACTGGCAACATTTTTTTAGAGATCTAGTTATTCTAATATAAAGCTGGTGATTAAATTTTGAAGTATTTGGGAACATACTGAGCATTCAGTACGATAACATGTCAGTTAGAGCAAAACATCATTCCTATTAAATTTCCTGATGCAAACAACATTGAAGTACCATCAATTATATATTCCTTTTGAAAAGAAAATAAATAATGTAAGAAGCATGGATATTGTGTTTCTAGTTTTTAATACAATCTTTGGGTGATTAAAAATTGATGGTTTTAATCATATATCAAAAGTGGAATAATAGTCCTTTAGGTGTTAATACAGAGATTAGGAGCGCAGCAACGACCAAGATTTACTGTACCTTAGCCAACTGGTTCCAGCATATGACGTATTACGATTAAACTAAATTACTGAAGCAACTAAATATCCTAAACTTTATATATAAATATCTAAAAAAAAACAAAAAAAACAAAAAAAAACGCAAAATTGGACGGAATGACTTTATAATATATATTTAAAATTATGCTTTATTAGATAACATTGTAATTTAAGGAGTAAATACTGAAATGAGGCAAAACATTAATTCACATTAGATTAAATTTGAATTACAATTATGAAAGCTACTGGATAAAATTGTAATGATTAATAATTAATTAATTTGAAGTAATTACAACTTAACAATACCTAATTATTCAGAATTTATTATTAAACTTAATCCAACACTATTCATAATCAAATAATGCTGTTGAAAGTACACAGCCTCCATTTAACTAGCTTCAAACTCATGGGAAGATCGACAGTTGCAAATGGGGGATAGCCCCCACCCAGAAAAAGAATAACAACTCCCTGGTTCAAGCATTTCTAAGAAGAAATCTGAAACATTGCCACACCCCCCAACCCCACCCACATCCCATATGATGTTTCTAACGCTACATGGCCCCTACAAAGATTTTTCTCTAGATCCATCCAGTAAGACATAAAATTTTACATAAATTTAAAATCTTTCAAAAAACATAAAACTTTAGATAAGTTCTCATTCGTGGTTTGTTTGGTGTTCCTTTTTTGCTGGAACAAATTCTTCTCATATGAGGACTCTAAACCTCATGCGCAGGGAACACAACTGGTTTGTGTGCCCTTAATAAAGAACCCAGAATATCCCTTGAGTGGAAAGCCACCAGAGAAACTCCACTGATATTAGAGAGCCTTCGATTTGCATGATGATGCACTCTGCCGTCACTGTTCTGCATTTTCCTTCTCTGCAACAACATACATTCGGGCAAAACTGCATCCTACAATCTAGACGAAATTGCATCTTTTGTTTTTGTTTTGGTTATACTTTGAAGTAAACCAACTATCTACTATGATAACTCTTACACAATTTCTTAACAAGTTATGATGGTAATCCTCAACTCAACTGATATTAAATGGCATGTGGCTCCTATAATAACATTACAAGCATGATATTCTTTGCATTAAAAAAAATCTAAAATTCGGCCTGGGTCATTGAGACAGTACACAAGAGAAAGTCCAAGGTGAGTCGAGTCACTGTGTGTTTTTATGCATTGTGATCATTAATATTATAACTATATCATATACAGTAAGCTCATAAAAGCCTGAGTCTTTACAATTATGAGTTTTATAGTATACAATTTATGGAAAAAAATAATAAAATCTAAGATCAGATTTAAATCTAAATTAAAAAAATCTGAAATCAGATTTAAATCTGAAGAATATCATGCCTGCCATTAACAATATGTCAATAGCAAGTAGAGTAAATTGCCATTTGCAATCACTAGAAATTAAATTGGCCAAAAGATGTAATTAATGAAGGCCACAAGTATGGTGTTATACAGTGGGCCCTCCATATTCGAGACCCCTCAATTCCATAACCCCTCTAATTTTGAGACCACTTTTTTAAGAACCAATTAACAATCTTCAATCTTGTAAAACGAACTAACCTTCTAATTGGGGACCAAACCCTGACACAACCTCAAATTTTCTCGAATTGGAGGGTGAACTGTATAAATATCAGAGAGCTCCATCTGACCAAACCATACAATTAGAAAGGAAATAATGTACAGTAGAAGTCAAAAACAGAATATTAAATGGCATGAAATAAAATTATTATACATTTCTGTTTCTGTTTCATTTTTTCTGTTGTGGCTTAAAACGTTTTTGCCTGTAGTTCCAAATGTAGCTTTCGTGACCATCATAGTCCGGCCGGTAGCCGTTGATAAGGCACTGGATAACCCATTCTGTTGACACTACTGGAATTCCTAAATCTTCTGCTTTATCACGGATGGACTTTGGACAAGTTGGATCAGTTACTATAACATCACACGTGAAAGCAACATCTAGTTAAAGAGAATACAAAGTGAATAGTGACAAGATAATCTGAGATTACAAATCCTCGCCCTGTCGCTTGTTGTTCTAGATCATAAGCAACTGCCATCCTAAATATAAACACAACTACCATGGCAACAAGTTAAGCTTACCAGAGTCAGCTGGGTTCTTATTTGAAGGCAAATTTGAGACTACTTCACATCTAGCAGCATGGAGTATGGAGATCCAAGTATTCTTTGTCTCCTCTTGTTCAGACACTACCATTATATGCATCCTCTGTAAAACTGTCTGTTCTTTCGGGCTAAGGCATAAAAAGTCAATACATGATGGATAGTGTTAATGTAGGTAGTTGGTACAGGATGGGTTGGAGCAGCACGTTGAGGCTTTTAGCAAAATGCACTCAATTTATTATTATTATTATTATTATTATTATTATTATTATTATACTATAACCTACCTTAAGGGGAATTTAGACAATGGAGAAAGTAGAGAAATTAAGAAAATGATGTTTCTCTAGTGGTCAAATATTTATATCCTGTGGTCACTAGTTCAAAACTGGGTGTGGGCTACAGTTTTTTTTTCTGTTTTCTTCCTTTTGCTGGACAAGTGGGATCATCTAATTCGTCCCTGGTGACGAGTTCAAATCTAGTTATTATTTTTGTTATTGTTATTACTGTAGAACCCCATTTAAGTGGTGTCCCAAAGGAGGGGGTTCTACTTTATTACCGTTATTATCTCCTGTGTCCTTGGGCAAGGTACGTTACCTATGGCTGTCCCAATATGCTCAGAAATATAACTGGGTATGAAATAAACTTGAAAGCTACTACACTGCCTTAGTAGAAGTAAATTTCTGGGACTACCACACCTTCCCCCCACCCCACCATGGAGGGAAGTTGTTTTATATATATTTGTTTGATCCAATGACCGGGCAATACTCAATTTTTTTTTCTGTATGTATTTATACCGGTACACACATAATAGGCTTATTTACTGTAATGAGAATGAGAAAAATTTACCTGATGGTTTTTAAGAGGGGGAAACCTTGAATTTTGAAAAATTTTAAAGTCATTAAAAGACACGTTAGAAACTGGGAAAGCTCATTTCCCGCCACTTAGGAATCAAAATTTTCCCAGGGAAAGACCACAGGGGCCCCCTTTATTTTTGGGGTATTCTGGAAACATTTTGAAACCCCCACTTCAATTTGAACCCAGATCCGCCCCCGTGGCTTAACTTGAAATCTTTTCTATTAGGTGTACTTTTTATTTGCAGAGTAAGCGCATTCTATAATGGTATTGTGTTTGGGAATAATGAGAATTTATAGCAGTCTTTGTTGGCATGGAGTACATCACAGTCTGTTTATTATTCTATCTTTTAATGAGTTCCAATTTAGCTTAGATACATGTTTGTTACACAGCTAGTTCCACTGTAGTCATTTGTGACAAATCGTGCCGCTCTACAGTACATTGTCCTTTTTCATATTATTAAATCGTATTGTATTCACTGAATATAATGCTGTCTTAGAAGGCCTCTTACCATTCCATTAATTTCTCTTCCTCTATACTCTCGCCAGCAGCAAGTACATATGATTTATAATCTTGGAGTTTGTTCTACCGAAAAAAAAAAAACGTTACCATTTAATGACTACAAATCAACTATAAATATAATATCCATATATTACAATATACACAAAAAATAGCTGGAGCTGATATTAACCCTTAAATCACTCCACACAATCCTTATAGCAATTTCTTAATTTATGTAGTAAAAATGCATACAATCAATGCAATTTTTTATTTACTTTGTGTAGTAAGATATTGCCTGGCCAACGTGAACAAAAAATGTTGTAGAGTATATTTCAACTGATTTCAATCCAGCCTTGTAGATAGGTAACTGGGTGGACAGATAGATTTATTTGGTGTTAATACCTAAATGAACCCACAAAAATATGAAGATGTCTTTTCAGTAGGGTTCCTGGGTCCTTCTGGTGGTGACTGGGAAATACACTTCCTTACTCTTTTCCAACGAGTATACTGGGTCCTTTAAAGTGCCATAGGCCATATTGCAGACAGGAGAGTGCATTTTTTATACTTATAAGGTAGGGTACTTATAGCAGTAGGGATCAAAGGATAAAGATAAAGTTAAGGTAAAATACATATTGCATGGCACTAACATCTTTACAACTATCTCGGAGCCATATATGTGAAATACATGGTAACCCGGCTGCCAATGCTTGGAAATATTTTTTGGTGCGACAATATGTGTTGGCGATCAAATACACGTTTCCTGAACACTTCTGAAAAATAGAGTTGTTTTTTTTGTTAAATAGATTTAATGTTGTACTATTAATAATTTTTAAAGTATATACAAATCAAGATTATTTTTTACTTTTCAAGTTTATATTACATATACTTTACTTCATGGTGTCCTATTCAGCAGCGTTTAACTCACACAGACCCAACGCAAGAACAAATCATGCAGGGCTGCTTCATTGCCGAAACAAGGGTGGATCCAGAATTTTTTTTAAACAGGGGGCACAACAGTTTCAGAATAGGTAAATGAGTACCACATAACAGTGATAGGCATGGAAATTTTAAAAATTTAGTGGCAAAACGGGGAACGTGCCCCCCCCCGTGCCCCCTACTGGATTCGCCCCTGAGAAAGTGGGGCCAATCAAGATAAAGGGTTGTTTTCTAGTCGCCCGAAAATAACGTCCAAGGTCTTCTGGGTGTTAATTTTTTCTTTTTCTTTCTTTTTTTTCTTTGTTTTACTTTCTAAAATGGGAGGCCGGCCAACCCCCTCCCCCCCCCACCAAATCCGTCACTTAATGACGCTGTCTGAGTTGGTTTTTGAATAGTTCAGTATTCAAGCAAACATGTTGGACTGTATTAACATGCTTACAACAATCTCTATTTTGCATATATTAGAAATGTACCAGAAAAATTTCAAGCATAACCATTTCAGACTAAAACAATGTTGAAAAATTCATATTACAGACTACAATAATAAACATTAATAAAGCACTTAAAAATTATTAAGAAAAGATGTGTATAAGAGACAGCAATACATCACTGGAAAATCCTTTGGTTTACCAAATTGGTCCCATACAGACTGTTGATGATGATGGAGGAATGTCTTGTAGTCAAAAGTTGATCATATGGAATTTTCAACTTTTTTATATATATTTTAATTCTGTACAGGAGGGGTTGATTGAAAAATTGAAGGCACGCTGTACCTCTGAGATTCTCCAGTGCTCTCACTTTCAATGATATAGCCACAGCCTGTCTCTTATACACATCTAGATGTGTATAAGAGACAGCCCCTCTTCAGTTTGCTTAAGTAATCTTGAAAAGAAGCATCAAAAGCTTATGGGCTTCTAATCAAAATAATATGGACTTCTTTCGAGATAGTTTCAGACTGATGTTATCTTTGATGATTATGATAGTGTGACATGTCAGTATCAATAGTATTTTTTGTACTACCATTGTTAAAATAATAAAATTAAATTAAACAGAATTCCGAATTCTACAGTTGATAACTGTCATACAGTATCAATTCCAAAAATTTACAGCATTAATTTTGAAAAGAAGCCCCCCCCCCCACCCTTTATAGTTGAAAAGAAGCCCATCTCAAAAAAAGGCCCATCTCAAAAAGAAGCACATCCAAGAGAACTAAAAAAAATAAAGAAGTCCAGGGTTCTATTCGAGGTTTTATAGTATATATAATAGATAAATAAATCTAAAATTAATAGAAAGCATAGTATTTTTAGCAGTTCATTTAATTAAAACACTGTTTATAATGTTTTTTTTTTGTTTTGAATTCCACTGTAATTTCTATGTAGACAACTAAACATGATTCTGATTAAAAAGGAACCAAATTGACAATACCAAATTCATGAATCCCACAAATAAATGATAACCCCATTAGAATTTGAGGACACATTTCACTAACCTTCCAACTGTGGCCTGGACCTCTTTTTAGATGGAGTTGTAGCAGAAGAGCCTTTCACCTTTTTAGTTGTTTGTGCTTTCTCTCCTCCACTGCTGGGACTTTCATTTGCAGTGGTTATTCTTCCACGTAACCTCTTACCACACACAATATTATCTAGGGATAATTAAAATGAGAATCTTTACCTGATTCTACAAAGAACTAAACATCTAACTAACATCTCTCAATTGCCTACCCCTCTGTCTGAACAGAGTTCATAAATGAGAAAATTGGTAATTCAGAGAATTCAAATTTTCATTGCATCTAAGTGTGGTGAGAGGTAGGCCTAGGCCTATGCTACAAACTACAGGGCTAGGTAGACCTAAGCTTTGCCATGGCAGCAAAATTTTGTAATGAAATACTATTTTCTGCAATTAATTATAAAACTTTACAGAAGCCAAAAAGCATCTGTGCTCACTGTGCAGTGTTCATTTGAAGTGATTTCCAAATGAGCAACAATTATCGCAGCCATAAATGCTTCCAACTGTTAGATACTAATACTAACCTAAATTGAGTCCTGTATGTAAGTCTGTACTTGCTGAAAACTGAAGTAGGGGTGCAGCTTGTTCTTTAGTTAAGATCACTTTACTTCGAGGGTATCTAAAATAAACAAAAAATAAATAAAATATATGCCTTATGATGCTCCTTTCTAGAGGTCTCTTGGTATCTGGTACCACAGAACGAGACAAAAACCTCCAGATCTTTGGTACCAGTATGCAATACATCACTGGAAAATCCTTTGGTTTACCAAATTGGTCCCATACAGACTGTTGATGATGATGGAGGAATGTCTTGTAGTCAAAAGTTGATCATATGGAATTTTCAACTTTTTTATATATATTTTAATTCTGTACAGGAGGGGTTGATTGAAAAATTGAAGGCACGCTGTACCTCTGAGATTCTCCAGTGCTCTCACTTTCAATGATATAGCCACAGCAATCATCGTCTCGAAAATATCCAATCACAGTGCCTATGAATAAATAATTGGTAAATAATTAGAGGGTAATTAACACAAACAATATTCAAGCCAAACAATGCTTATTCATAATTTATTAGAATACTAACAATATGGATTGTGATGTATTGAAAATCATGAGGATGATGGCAGGGATGTATTTACGGTGGGCCGAAGTGGGGGCGGGCTACCCAGCCTTGAAATTTTCCACCCAGTTTAAAGCAAATTTTATGACCCACCACCCACCCCTATTAACCTACTTTTATATCCTTACAATCCACTCTTATTGTTTAGACTTTAGCAATGTTATCACCCACTCACCCTCAAAATGTCTATCACCCACCCTAAGTTTTTTTTTTACAGCTACAACCCTGTGATGGTGATGACGTGGATGATCAGGTCTAAAAAGAAAAAAGTGGTGTGGCACAACACAGAGATATGCGTCGGTCCGGTCTGCAATTTTATAAAATGTTGGCTTTTCTGTTAATATTGAACCTTTGATACATGCTGTGACTAATTTCACCACACGAAAGACTGTAAATAAAGGTAAACATGTGGGCCAACATCTGTTTGTGAGGAAGGCACATATTCCTAGTACTGTTCTGATTGATTAGTTCGATTGACACTCCGAGAAGTTCCATTCTAAGGTTCAGCATCAATCATTACTTTCCCATTCTATCTTGGTCTTGGATGATAAAGTGGTAGCCACAGATCTAAAATTTGGGTAAATTTATTTTGAAAATTGATTCTTTGAAACATCATACTAGTACTGTATTTATTTTTGCCAAAACAATTCTGATTAAGCAACAAGTGTTTTATTTTTGGCCTAATTATGCAATAACGTATGATTTTGATGATGACAATTATGAAGTTGATACAGACTTAGCAATAAATTATTAAAATATTAGTATGAGATGATAATTAAGTTGATGGTGATGATGATGTTGGTGGTGATGAAGATAAGTGTTGATTATAATGAGATACATAATAATATGATGAAATGAAGATCAAGTTAATAACAACAAACATATCCTATCATCTTTATATGTTCGAGGTTACCTGGGCTATAGAGCTCACTGCTGGTCTCTGCTAGGACCATCTGCCCTTTTGAAAGCCAGGCTTTATGTAAGATGTCTTGAACACCTATAACACGCTTGTCACCGTCATCAAAACAGAATGAATACCTATAATCAATCAATCAATCAATCAATCAATCAATCAAATCTGTTGCCAATAAAAAAAAAACTTTAAACAAAAAAACCTGTACAAGACAGAGTCAGGGAAAATAAAGCAGAAAACAAACTTTCTTTCTTCCTCTCCAATGAACATGGAAGATAGCATAATGATCAGCATGATCAGGAGGATCAAACTATTGTTGTTGAGCGATGTTCTAAGGAACAATAGAAATAGCATTACCCAGTTAAGGTATCCATAAAAAAGGCCTCACAAATGAATATTATGTAATAACCTTTATATATATGATAAGAAACACCAATTACAGTAGAAACAAAAATATGATAATAATAATAATCGTAACAGCAATAAGTAGAGCTCCGCATAGTAAACTATAGGAAAATTATTATACGAAGGTTAGATTAAATGCTTGAAAAAATTTCTGAATGCATTAAATCTAACCTAAGTATAATAATTTTCCGCTAGTGTACGATGCATGCTCTACTAATTGCTTTATAAGTCAATAGCCGTCTTTTAATGTTAGTTTTTATAACCAACTGTGTTGTACCAGTCATCGGTTGCTATAGTGATTTGATCATTGTGTGTGTATTTATATTTTGTGCGTATGCTGATTTGTGCTCCTGCAGTAGGCAGTACTACACATCAGCAGTACTGTACGGACACGATGAATAACTAAGCCTAGGGAGGCTATTTTGTAATTTGTATTGTGTTAGAAGAACTTGTTTGTAATTTTTCACATTCCTCAAAGAAATAAACATTTTTCCAAAGCATTCGAGGGAGAATACAGTTACTGTCACTAACTTTTTGGTAGGTGCAGACAGGTAAAAATCTTTGGATGATTTCAGAAATTATGCAAGGCTATACGGCCTAGACCAGTAGTAGTAGGAGGAGGCCTCGGCGGCTCTACTTCTAATTTTGTTCCTTGAGTCTTTAAAATAGGTTTAGAATATTCCTATTAAACGTTCAGTTTGTTCAGATTATTAGGGTTCATTGATTCAAGGAATTGCTTAATTGTTCATATTTAATAATGAATTTAAAGTACCTTTCTTCGGTTTCTAATTAACCTTGTCTTACGAAACTAATTTTCATTTACAATTTAATTTTTATCACGGTACACGTTGTCTTGCACACGAACCTAAAAAAATCAAGCCAAGCGTTAATTGAATAATTAGTGGACAGTGGGGAATAGGCAAATAACATTGGGAGTTGCAGTGATGACGTCACGATTGACTTATAATAAAAATTGTGTAAGATTAACATAGAAATGACAAACATTAGTAATGCACTTAAGACAAGAAACTCTAAAATTATAAATAAAAAATACTGTATATCAATAATCATAAAATACTAAAAATTTTGTATTATTAATACTGTATAAAAAAAAACATTAATAAAGCACTTTAAAATTATTAAGAAATAAAGAGGTAAATGTAGGCATTACCTGTTAGGGCTCTCCTCTTTATCAATAGCACCTGGATAGTAGTACCCATCCCGCCACCTGGCTAAGACTCTCACTCCTGGTAAAAGATAAGGTCCAATTTCTGGATCCGGTGGATCTGTTAGGTCACCACTACTCTCCTCTGTAGACTGAACTGTTGTTGCCTTTCTTGGTGAACATCTTCTTGTTGGTGCTACTGAGGGTGAATTTCCTAAAAAATGTAACTCATCATTAATCTTTCTTTGAAATTAAAATATATATATATTTTTTTTAATGGTTTTACACCAAATGAATAAGACTGAAAATGTGATTAAATATTGTAACAATAACAAATACATAAATATTGGAATGAAAATGTTATTTTACATGATTATATAAACAATATGGCTTTGGAAATGTTATCACAATATTTAACTACTATACAGTACCTTTGCTTTTCGTTACTGTATTAATTGAAACATCTGGATGTTTTTCTCCACTGCCACTCCCATTTTTTGGAAGACCTAAAGGATCATCTGGTCTAGCATCACCAGATTCAGTTGCAGATTTATTGTCATCCGATATGGATTCGTCAGAAGTATTCTTTTTCTTTCTTGTCATGATGTTTTCCAACATCTTAGGTGAACTAAGAGCATCAGTATCTGCTTGGACTATTTCGCTTCTCTTAGGCCTACCCTTACTGGATTCTAACTTCTTTGAATTTGAAGGGGAGTTTTTTGTGCTTCCAAAATCTTGTGAAATGTGCCTACTGAGCCTTCTTGTTCTGGTTACACAAGTGGGGGTTGAAGGCTCAGTAAAGGCGACCTTTTTTGTACTTTTACCAGGCAATTCTCTGAGTCTTGCAATTGAAACTGCTGCATGAAGCTTGGGAATGGAAATACTTGCTCGAACATTGTCACCTGTTGCAACACTGCCAACATTGGAGGAAGACTTCGGTAAACTGCTGGTGCTGATACTACGGGAAAAGCTACTTCCGGAACCAGAAGAGGACTTTGATGTTGAAAGAGAACTCACATCTCCAAGATCACCAGATGAAAAAGAAGATGTTGTTCGACTTGGAGATACAGGAGGCGGTTCTGGTTGTTCAGTAACCTTTACAGTTGGAACATCAACTTCCTTAAAGAAATGAGTTTACAAACAATAACAATTATATTTTTGTTAACAAAATAAAGAGAATTATGTGTTGAAGTACTGTAAAACACACTTTCAAAAATTTGACAATCATGCACAGAAACTATGGTTATGTAATTTAGCAGAAAATGTAGTCATTGTGCCTTGCACAAGAAAGCAGAAAAAAAATCAGTGAACAAGTCTTTAGCCACAGTCACACTACAGCCTCAACCTGGGTTGACTCATGCCTGGCTTGAAATTGCTGTCAACCAAGACAGCTCAGCCCAGGCAAAGTATATTCAGATGACCCTGGGTTGACTCCCAAAATGCGACCAATCACAGCTAGCAGTGCAAGGTTTATGTTCAAGGATTTCTACTATCTGAATTATGTCAACCCAGGTAAGTGTGGACACTGAACATTTTCATGCCAGGCATAGGATCTTAATTTTATTGAGTCAAGTCAGGCTTGAGGCCCTAGTGTGGCCGTAGCCTTAAAATCATTCATTTTGTGACAAAACAGTATATTTAATTAAGTGTAAGATCATTTGAATGTTGAATAGAAAGGTATTCAAGCCGCTTGTATTGTAAAGTGAATCTGAAACTCTTTAGTCATTAACTGTTCACAATGAAAAAAAAACATTGGGTATGCCCAAGAAATACTGATCCAAAATCTTTAAAAAAAAAAAATCTGGGGTCACCCTTCTCTGCAAAGTTTTGGTTGATTTTTCCAAGTAGGAGCAAAAAATACTTTTTAAAAAGCTTTAGTTATGAATTTGATACTCTCACCTTAGATTTTAGCACTTTAGTTATCATTTCACTATACCAAAAAGTATAAGGTGAGTTATGGTTGGCATAGAAATAGGTCTAGAAAAATAGTGAAAAATGTTTGTTGGATTAGATTGGATTAATTCATTGTGCAAAAGATAACCCACGAAAGTTGAAAGACTTATTTCCAGTTAATAATAATAATAAAAATAATAATAATAATGTTATATTCATATAGTGCATATTTCACATTGCCCCTATGCGCTTTACAGAGAAATAATATAGGCCAACTGAAAAAATGCAAATAACAATAAAATAATAACAATAAAATAAAATAAAAATAATCATAATAACAATAATATCAATGAGACTAAACTACTCTTATTCCTTAAACTAAGTAATTGTTGGCCGTTGACTCAGTTGGGTCCTTTTAGTGGTGAATGAGCAGTACACTGGGAGACAATCTAAATCTCCTACTTTTTTCTGAAGAGTGTTCATTAACATGCACATGAGCCATATTACATACAGGACCAAGGGCTTAAAAACTTCAAAACTATCAATAGTATCAATGCATGCAATTACAGTATTTATTAAAATAAATAACCTGTTTAAATAAATGCCGTTTGAATAAATGACCACCTTGAATGAACTTTCCCTCCAGAGATTCATTTGGAATAAACGCCCTGAAAAACCCCCCCCCCCCCCCCCCCCCCCAAATGACTGTAAACAAAACTAATGGAAACAATCGTTATACTCAACATATTCTACGCTAGTAGAATATCATTTTATCCAACTTGGTTGGGAGTCATTGAGTATTTATGATCACGCAATAACAAATTTTGGAGGTATGTGTTGTAGTTCCCCATTTACAGTGAAATTAGGGGCGTTTATTTGAGTATACAGTGCGTATCCATTTTACACCGACAAAAAAAACCGGCTCCCTTGAATAAATGCCTCGTAGAATTACATTTTTTCCAATTGGTTGGGAGTCATTGAGTATTTATGATTACGCAATAACAAATCTTGGATTTATGTGTTGTAATTCCCCATTTACAGTGAAATTAGGGGCGTTTATTTGAGTATATACAGTGTGTATCCATTTTACACCAACAAAAAAAACCGGCTCCCTCGAATAAATGCCTCCCTCGTATAAACGCCCCTCAAAAACCCTTTAAACGATAAACAACCTGTGGCATTTATTTAGAATAAATACCGTATTTAATTTTCACTTACGGTTCTTTTCTTAACTTCTATAACAACACCATCCCTCACAGCTTCTTCTTGTATGCAGCGATGAACAATCGTGGTAGTTATAGTTGTTATTTTTGTCCGCCAGGTGACTTTCGTTGCATTTGAATGCTCCGCCTGTGTTCTACTAGTACCAGGGTTATTTTGCTCTCCTTCCACTGTGCTTTGTGTTTCCACCTTTGCAGAATTGAGTAAACAAATAAATACACTTTGTTATCCTCTTGGGCCACCGATGGCAAATATCTCTTTTTTACATTTGTTTTTATGTAATTCTTATTGTAAATTTTCAAATCAATACATAAAATTATAATATACTCCCACAATTATGAAAATACAATATTGCTGTAAATGATTAGAGTGAAAAATACCAGATTCTTTGCAAGACCACTTCTCTTGCTTGAAGTTGCAGCTACTGCTTCTATTATTTGGTCTTGTCTTATATTATCCTGTTCTTTACTTTTTCTTTTAACTTTGCTTGTCTTCACTGGGGTTTTTCTTTTCGGATTCTTTTTCCCTGTGCTTCTTGGCGTTATGCATATTTTCTCGGCTTTTTTGGATGAACTTTCTAGACCTTTCTTAGCACTTGTTCTTGTTTCTGTACTTCCAGCTTGCAAGCCAAGCAACCGTTTTCTTTTTATACTGACAGACTCTCCTGATGCATGTTGTTGCCTTCTGCCTTGAGTTGGTGTTCCATAACATTGGGAATCGCTAAAATCAAAGGGATCTCTTTTATCTTTCTGAAGATCTCCTTGCTTTCTTGGTGAATGGCGTCGAGCAGAAGATGCAGATTTGCTTTGCTGAACACCTCTCCCAACAGACTTTTGCATATGAATGACTTTGTGTTGGCTTTTGACACCATCCTGAATCCCTGAGGATTTGTTGTTATTTTTACCTGCCAAAGATACCAGCTCTTTCTCCATGTTCTCTTCTTCATCTTCAAGTATTTCAGTATCTCCACTGTAACTAAGTGTCTCAATCTTATCACTGACAACACTCATAACTGAAGAATTGCTGTCATTAAAAGTGACTGCTCTCTGATTTGTATGGTGGCAAGAGTTACTGGATTGTTCTTGAATGTCATAAAGACAATCATCAGCTTCTCTGGCCTGTTGCACTTTACTAAATACTGAATTTGTCTTCTTTGGGCTTTCTTTCGCAATTTTGATGAGTTCACCAGCGTCTGATGGTCTTGCTACGTGAAAAACAGGAGTGTTGTCTGTGTTGGCGTCAGTTTCTTTTCCAAGAACAAGTGCAGAAGCTGCAGGCGGTTCATTTGCTGCTTCCACCTGTAAAGATTGAAATTAAAAGAAGATGTATAAATACCAATGTATATTGTGTACACAAACAGATCAAAATATTTTGTATTTAACAATAAAAAATGTTTATCCCTTTAAAATTGGTATTGTTGCTTCTTTGTTTGAAAAAAGTTTGGAAGAATCTTAGAAGAATTTGCAATTGATACTCCGGTATACAAAAAATCAAGAAGTTGGAAAAACTATCAAAAAATTCTGTCACGGCAAAATAAAAAGAACAAATTTAAGTCACTTTCAGTTAAATATGTTTGTTAGCAAAAGTTTACAAAAGCTTAAAAAGGCATTCACTAATAACAAGAATATGATGTGGTACCTGAATTTCTGTTGTGGGATGATCAGAGTTTGCAACATGCTTTATGCTTTCTTCTTTTTCCAGAATAGGAGTGCTGTGGTGTTGGGGACTTTGTAAACCCTTTTTAATAATTTCTCCAACACCAGGAATGACTTCAGAAACTGGTTTTAGACTGTTTTCTTTCGGAAGACTGAAATGGAATCCTGTACCTGATAAACAACAATGAATATCAGTTGTAAGATAAAGTTTGCATCAAGCATGAATAAACAGGGCCTTGTGGTTCTAATCTATATTGTATCTAATGAAATTATTTTGAAAAATTCAAATTGTGCAATTTTAACATAGTGAACTTATACTGATGCTTTGGGTTTGCTTTTGTATTGTTTTAATGTGATGTTTTTGCCGTTTCTCGTTCTTGTTTTCCTGTTGTACAAAATACACCAATTTAGCTTTTGGCTACTAATGTATTTTTTTATGACGGAGTTTTTTGAATAAAGATACCGATTATATATCTGATTTCATCCAGTTGATGGAATCCTATTACACTTAGAATATATTTTACAAATGTAACAAACACTTGATAATCCCATGTAATTTATACAAATAATAATAATACAAACATTTTCCAGAAGCAAAGAAGAGGTTTTCTAATTTGAACCAGTGGCCTTTAAATCAATTTCTCAATGCCGGATTAAGTACCCCATAAAACTTGCAACCCATATGTGGAGCGGTCAAGCCAACTCAGTTGCTTGTCGAAGATCGTCAACTGGAGAAAATCAGGCCTAAAGATTTATACATTGAAAATTTCAAAGAAAATAAAAATTTATTTTATGACTTAAAATTAACAATAAGGTATCTAAGATCCATGCTACATTGACATTTTCCCAATTTTCAACGGTAATAGAAAACTTTTATACAATTTACAGAGGGTATCTCATTGTAAAATGTCAAAAATTTGGTTCATTTTACCCCGTTTAGTTTCATATTTCTGATGTTATGCACGTCTCCATTTTGAAAGCGGACTGCTCCATATTTGGTACCAATGCAAAGGGAAGTTTACAAGCTTTCATTCAATGGTTTTAAATAGTGTAAACAATTCTGTTCATCCTTGACAATGACATTGAAATATGATGTCTGTGACCGGTCACTCACATATAAGTACCAACAAATCAATGAACAATGATTCAACAATTTTTTGTAATTTCAAAACCTTTAGCAACGCTATACTTCCTGTTGTTAGGTCTAGGTTTTAGCTTAGCGTAGCCTGTCTATCGATTATCGCTGATACTTTTGGGTTACAAAATCTGGATGTTGTTGGAAAAATTTATTTATATTACTTGGGCCAAATTTCAAGAACGCTGTATAACGCTATCCCCCTGTTGCTAGGTTGGGTATTCGGTTATGCCCATGGAACAAGGAACGTCTCCGCGCTGTCAGCGTCTCAGGGAGTTGGTAAACTTGGAACGTGAATTTCTCGAAAACATGTTTAAGGTTCCTCCCAAAGTTAGGTATCTTTAAACTTCTATAACGGTATAACAAAAAGTTGGATTGTAAAAATTTTTATACGATTGTAAAGAATACCTTACTAAATAATAATAATGTATTATCTCAAAATCTGAATTTACGACAAGCGAGTGATTTGGCTTGACCACGCCACATATCCTGTATGCATGATAGACTATAAAAGGATCTCCTGTAGGTAACTTGTAAACTAGTTGAAATGTTCTACCATTATTCAAATACCTGAATTTTCTTTTTCTGAATGATTATTTGAGTTTTTCACAAAAGAATTACTGGAACAGACTTCAACTGGACTCAAATAGCTGGTAGTAGTAATCACTGATTCTGTAGTAACTTTCTGGGGTTTCTGGAAAACAGATTGGCTAATTTCACTTCCAGCACCTAGGTAAATAAATATTTTATTAGTTATTATTTTTATTTATTGCTCAGAAAATGCAAAAGGACATAATATAGGAGCAGGACTAATTCACTGAATCAAGGCATACATGCATCCACCCACTCCCTGTCAATCCATCAATCCATCCATACATGCATCTATCCATCTATTCTACATAACTTATTGACAAACAACTTATTGGAAGCGTGGGCCTAAATAAATGTAATTTCCCTTGGTATCTAAACAATTTTGTTTACCTTGCTTCTTGCTACTGTCTTCGACAGCTTCATGATGTTGTAACCTTTCACCTTGTGTGTCACTTTGAGTTTGTGTTAAATAATGAAGACACCAATCTTGGGAAGCAGCAACCACATCACAGTCAGCCTTCCCATGATGCATTTCAGCAGACTGGTCACCAATGGCATCTTTTAAGTTGGAGGTTAGTGCAATTTGTGGCTCATCATCTCCATCATTGTTTTCGTCATCAAATAAATCTTCTCCTCCAGATTGCTCTTGCATCATAACATCCTCCGCACCACCTGTGGAAATTCATATGAATTACAAGAAGGGTTTTTAATAGATTTGAATAGAAAATATAAGTTAAACTTTCAAATAAATTAAGATATTGGATTAGATATAGAGTGTGTGAATTTTTTAACATTTACTATGATTTAACTTATGATTCTAAGGGAGAGAGAGATGGACTAAAATTTTATGCCAACTTTGTTTTAAGAAATATTTCAGACCATTATACTTCCATAAAAATCACTAGTTTGCATACCTCTAGTTTTCTTGATTTCTGTAATGCCATTATTGCTTTTTAACTGCGGTTCCGATAATTCTTGAGCAGTTTCTGTGAAATGTAGCCTTAAAGAAGCAGCCTGGCTCTTGATGATCTCATCGTCTGTGGTTTGTTTTGGTGCATTGTCTTTAATCTCCGCAAGTAAATACTTTTGAGAAGATATGACCTGTCTCTTATACACATCTAGATGTGTATAGCTTACACCTGTCTCTTATACACATCTAGATGTGTATAAGAGACAGTATATATACATATATATAAATATATATATGACAATAATAGAAATGATAACAACAGAAACAGAAACAAATATAGTAATAATTGGAGTGATCACAACCAGTCACATTTATATCACTGGATGATGATGATGATGATGACGATGATGTGACGATGATGATGATGATGATGATAATGATGATGATGATGATGATGACAATGATGATGATGAAGATGACTATGATGAGAATGATGATGATGAAAACATAAATAAACCCACCTGGGTGTCAGCAGGTTCATCCAGGTGACCTTTCAACCTGGTAGGGATGATTTTCTTTGGCGGGGCACTGGCACACCTTGTTTTAGCAGGATTCCCACGACTTGCAGATGATGCTACAATATACAGACAAAATTCCCAAAAAACAAATTCAATTAAAACATATTTACATGGTTGTCTCGACTTAAAACAAAGGGTTTTTAAATAAACTTACTTGGTAGACTTGATATTTCCTTATGTCTCAGTTTCTCTTTACTCATTTGAATTCCGGGAGCGGGGGTAACAGACTTGCCAGCTGATGTGCTACGGCTCCTTGTACCCTCTAGAATACTAGATCCTGGTGAAGTCTGCCATGCCTAGAGTTAACACAATAAAAAACTTAACGAATGGCTAATGCATTTTGTTTTTCATTATAATGTCTATTTTTTTTTATCTATCAGATAATAATCTTATGTTATAGTAATATCATACTGTAGAAAGTAGATCCAAAGGCTAATGTACAAGCCCTACTATCAAGGTCTGACACTCAAGAACCAAAAAATCACTAATATAAACTAATAGTTACAGATGCCGTTAGTAAAAGTTTAAATTTACTATTGTTTCACAGTCATAACAACATGCATGTTGATAAAATTTCAGGGGGCGTAAAGCATCTTTAGCTCCCTTTCAAATCTGCGCCTGCTGAGGAAGGTAAATTGGTAAAATAAGGAGATAATAGGTGAGGTGGATTAAGTGACAGCAGCAAAGCTCTTTGTTTTTACCTGAAACTGAACAGAATGACTAGTTGGTCTTTCAACCTCAACCTCTGCTGATTGTGATGGTGAACATTTTTCTGACGTCTCACTCTGAGCAGCAGCTTCTTCAAGTAACTGCTCTTTATTTAAATCCTGCTGCCATTTAGGTATCTATAAATAAACCAATAAAAACAATAAATATATTACCATAACATCAGAGTAGTAAGAGATTGGGCCTTTGGTTAAGATCATATTACATGGTCATACTGTACAAATAACTGATCTTGCAATTATACAGTTCAGTAGCAATTGGATTGACACTGATTGTATGGTGGCAGGTACATTTACAGGCCAAAAACACACTTTCATCATAAATCATCATCTGTATCAGCAGGCTATAGGTTCGCAAAAGAAGGTATAATGAAAGTCTCGTCTAGGCATAGACGACTGTATTAAGGGACTGACTTTAAATTTTACCAAATACCTTGGTGAACAGTCTGTGGAATACAGAATGAAGAAATCAGCTTTAGATTTAAATAAATCTTACACACACTACAAAACTAAATTGTAACAACATGGACCAATGCTACCAACTTGGCTTGTTCTCATAACGGAATCCCAACCCCAACACATTACACAAAACATATAGAAATATATTATAGAAACAGACCTCGAAAGCATCATTGTCTTCTTTTGAAAAATATGGTTCAGTCTCTAACATGGCATTGTTATTGCATATGTCCATAGGTTGCTCAGCATAGCTGTCTGCTTAAACAGGAGAAAGAATGGAAAGTTATATTCAATTCAAAATAGATTTGTCCATATTTGGAATTTTATTTCACATGATGACATTAGGAAATCACTTATTTGAGAAAGGTACTTAATATTAAACTTATAATTATTAGAAACCACTTAAAATCTAATTGTCCTAATATAACATTATTTATAGGTTTTAATTTTACTATTATTTTTGGAATACACTATATATCATTATTATTACAATTATTAAGTATTCAGGTGGTGTATTATATTTTTAATTCATAAAAAAAGGAAAAAAAAAACTGTCTTTAAAAATTGAAAAAAAAAATTACATGAAAATCAATAAACACATCCATGAAATGAAACATACAGTAGATACAGAGCAATTTAGATAATCTATTAAATTTACAAAATGCTTGGACTATTATTTGTTAATGATGTTAAGCTCTGTCTATACTATCAATCTTTTTTTAGACAATAAACTGTTGTATGCATATATGTGGCAAAGACAAGCCAAACCAGTCACTCGTCGCAAAAATCGATTTTGAGTTATTAATACAGGGTTAAAGAGTAAAATAATAGCTATAAAATGGTAAAAAAATCATTCAAATCCGACATTTCCTTATGAAGTTACAAGCATTTAAGCATACAGCTGTTTAAAGAACAATATATGTGGAATCAGCCTTCAAAGTTTATGATTTCAGGCATTTTTCATGCAGAAGCTATCATAAAACCTTTAAAAAGTGTTGTTTTAACATTGAAATTGGGAAAAATATCAGCACAGCATGATGTATAGATACATAAACCTCAGTTTAGTGAAATAAATTAGATTTTTAAAAATTTTACATTCTAGCATGTTTTTGCTATTTTCTCTGAAACACAATTTGCGACGAGTGACTGGTTTGGCTTGTCTTTGCCACATATAGTCATGATGTGTCTATATAAGGTCATGATGTGTTTTTATCATGACCATATTTAGGCATGTCCCATGTGTTTTTTAACCCAAAAAAAATGATAATCTGGACAGGGCTTACACAATACACATACCAATTGTCTGTGACGGGGAGCTGATAATAATTGCTTTAGGTTGATAATCGTGAGGTGGAGACGTTGCTACATTGGATGAGGTTATTTGTCCAGAAAGATGAAGATTTGCTATCGTCTCAGATGGTGTACAGACTGGATGTTGTTCTGTGTTGGTAAAAGAGAATTAAAAAATGAAAAATTAGCTACAGCACTATTTTATTGAATTAAAAGCTCTTTCCACACTATCAACTTTTCTTTGAGAAAAAAAACAGTTGTATGCCAATATATAGTCATGATGTGCCTATATTTGGTCATGATGTGATGTCATCATGACCATATTTAGGCATGTCACATGTTATTGTGAAATAAAATTTGACAGGGCTTTAGACAACAGAAGAAATAATAATCTGATAATCAACAGGAGTGGTTTGGTGGTTCTGCTTCCCAACCATGAGGTCAGAGGTTTAATCCTTCGCTGTGCATTTCGCTTGTATCCTGAGGCAAGGCACTTTACCGATGGTTGTCTCTCTCCACCCAGGTGTACAAGTAGGTATCTGGTAGGTTCAAACACAAAATGCGCTGATTACAGCTGCAACGTTATTAAATTCTCCCCAGGGAGCTGAGAATGTGTTCCTATGTGCTTGATCTAATCACTGGGGGTAACGCGAGATGCTTTAGAAGCCTTGGTGGCATGAAGTGCTATTATACAGTAAAGTCTAACATATTATTATTATTATTAATAAAGAAGTTGACATTCAATCAAAAAACTAACCAGTAGTTGGTTCCTCCTCCTCTTCTTGTGAAGGTGGTATGACAACAACATCCACATTATAGGCTCTTGGTGATGGTTGGATCACGTTGTCAGACATGGTTTCATCAGATGTATTGGCAACAAATGACCGTGACTGTCTGCCATGTAAGACGCTTGAATTACTTGAGTTACTGGACAATGAACTACTCTCACCTGATGTAGGAATATGCAACAGGTTACTGCCTTTATTTGATCCTAAGAACATTAAAACACAATACTCAGTAAATAAACAATTCATATACTGTACAAAGATGAATCCTGGAATTTGAAATAGAGAAGGCCCAGGAAGGCAGCTCTAAATGGCTGAAAATGGCACTCTCAGACTTCAATTTCAATATAATTTTTACAAACAAGGCGATATTTTAAGTTGTAGCTTCCAGGTCATGTTGGTGGTGGACGCAAATCTATAACTTTCATCTTACGACCTACCCACCAATATGTGGGTGTTGAATTTTGGTACTGTATATTGCAATTGTATGTCCATCGTCGCATGTGTTACCTTTTTGTGTTACATAAACCATATTTTCTAGGCTTCTCCCCTTCACAAAGTTTCCCATTGGTGCACCAGTATCTTACCTTCTTTTGTGCTAATTTGCTGTGTGATTGGCCTCGGCGTACCTTTAGTTGCTTTGACATTACCAATACTACCCACAACTGCAGGATCCATGTCTTGCTGTGGAGATGAGGGAGTAATCGCTGAAATGTTTCCAGTACATGTGGTAACACTAACAGGAGAAGATAGCACATCTAAGTTTTTCAGCATCTGTTTCTTGACAGAATGCAATGATTTATTTTTTGAATGTTTGTCCGACTGCAATGCCATAATTATTACAAACCAAATCCTTACTCCTTTATTAAGACTCTCAAACTCTATAATATGTCTTGACAATACCAGCAATTTATCCCTTGCAAATAATATAGAATAGGTCTATAAGCTATAATTAAATTATTGATAAAGTATAGGCCCAGGAATTCTTATTTATTTAATTTTAACATGACCTGTTCAGTAAGACAAAATTTGTACATACACAAGGAATTAATCAATCATTATCCAAATTCAAAATTATCAAAACATTAAAAATTTGTAACAAACAATGAAAAAATGTAATACAGGAGGGGTAAAATACATATGCCAAAATAATTCCCTTTTCTTCTAGAGACTAGGCCTAAATAATAATTAATATAAAGAAGGTAGTGTAATAACTTAACTCCTCCTAGGCCTAGGTCTCGGCCTCAGCTCGGGAGGTGAATCAGAGACACAGGCTAGTGGAGCAGGCCCGTGCTAGGCCTTATAGTTAGCTAGGCTGCACTGTCATTGTCCAGCCACGTGTGGCAAGTTAACCAGATCAGGCTAGGCCTAGTTATTAGGCCCTACTAGGGTGCCTAGTCTATGCTCGGCTCGGCCTAGCTAGGCCTAGCTTAGGGCGGCCTAGGCCTATCCTTACTTAAATACTTACATGCATGGATTATAATTTAATAATACAACAAATTAAAATCAGAAGATGGTGTACAGCTCCTGAATCTTTATATGAAATGAGATAACATCCACTTACCTACCAGACCTGCTTGCCAAGACCATCAGTTGATATTTCATGAGGTCATCATTTGCAACCTGTCTAGTCTTGACTTGACTCTATTTCGCGCCATTTAAATTGGTTTTTAATAATTATTGACGTCATAAGGGAATCCCCTTCTGGTGCGTAACAGCTTGTTTACATCTTTTATAACGGCTGTACTCTCAAGACTATGCAATCACATTAGAAAACAAAGCTATAGAGGGATCAACATACAGTAATCAAAATTGTGATTACTGTACTACTGTACCCAAGGAGGGGAGGCGTGGCTTCTTATTTTTTATACTTTACAATGTTTTTCTCCATTTGATGAATGAAATATCGTTAAATAAATCATGCCTAATCTATGTGAGTCATGTGGGTTTCTAGTTGGAGCGTGTAGGTTGTGTTTTTATACGGTAAGTTCGTTGCCTCTTTAGGTTAGGCCTGAGAGATGATAAGTTGGTATGGTAATATTAAGTAAGGTCAGTCAGTCAGGTAGGAGCTAGGCCTAGCCTAGCCCTAGCTAGGTACTGTGTAAACGGGTTAGCCTACAGTCAAGGGCCAGTCAGTGGCCCCAACCCGGTTCAAGCGAGCGGTTCCTATCTAAATTTAGCTAGAAGTAGTACTACAGGCCTAGACCTATCTAAATTTAGCTAGAAGTAGTACTACAGGCCTAGAACTGTAAAATTTATCACATAATTTACCAAGAAAAAAAATCAAAACACATAATTAGATGTCGTGCAAATGACAGAAAATGATAACACATAATTTTGAAACAAATGTGCTCATTTTGCAGTAGCAACAAAATTGTTCAGTACATATTAAAAACTTTATTGCAGACAAAAAATTAATTTTGTATAAGTCACAACCACATTTTTGATGAATAAATAAAATAACAAAGTACATCTTTCTAAATAAATTTTTTAAATATTTCCTTTTATTGGATTTTGTTTCCAGCAAAAGTTTATAAATATCAACAATGTTTCTAATTTAAGCCCACTTTCTTTTATATCAGATTGAATTTTTGGGTATAATGTGACAATGGGTCTTTCTTTTCGGCCTTTCAAGTTTATGATGTATTAACTGCAAACACGAGTTTCCAATTTGCAGGAGTGAGTTTGTCACGCTGTAAAATGTGCCCAAGCATTGACTACCTACATCATCAATCCGCTTTCGTTCCAGCATAGAGGTCTGCAAATATTATTCCAAGTAGATCAAATATTTCTTCATTACTTTCTCGGTTTAACTGTTCATTTATGGGCCTAAGTTGCTTAATAATTGTTGAGATTCATTTATAATGTTGTCCCCCTCTGAGTTTTTTTGACCTTTTTATGGCTTCTCAAAGTGCTTTCTGGACAGGAACTTCGGTTGGCAAGGCAAGACTTTTTTTTATAGTATGTTTAACAAATCTGAAGTCCGCCATTAATGATGATCATTTCAAATAAAAATAAAATTTTATTTCTGGCAAATTAGGGGGAAAAACAATTTGCTAAATAAGAACAGAATTTTATTTTAATTTTTTTTCTACCCTTAAATGACGATCTTTAAAAAAATAATTTCGCAAAACAAGGTATGAACAATTTGTCAGTGGATTTGATTTTTTAAAGTGAATATAAGGATTGATTGTTTAGCCGAGGCTTTTTTTATTCCTTGTTTTGTGTACTTATGTCTTCAAAGATCATTGGAGGAGGGCGGAATAAAAATAAAAATAAAATTGTGTTTTCTTATTTAGCAAATAATTTTGCCAAAAATTATTTAGCAAAAAAAATTATTTAGCAAAAAAAATTACTTAGCAAAAAACTTTAGCAAATGGAGAAAATAAAAATAAAATTTTATTGGTAAATAGGATGGTTAAATGCTTCAAATTTATATACCGGTAATTAAAGTAGGAAGAAATATACATACAGTATCTTATCTTTGGAGATTTCAAGGCAGCGGAGGGCATAATAAAAATAAAGAAAAACTTTTTTCTGAAATTTCCACTTTTTTTCGTGGCGGCGGGTGTGCTAATTGGTCAAAAATAAAATTTTATTTTTATTTGAAATCATCAATATTTGCAGTCGGCAGGTTTGCTAAACAAGGTACAAACAAATTCTCCTTACTTGAGCATAGATATTATTGTATTAAAAAAAATTCACCAATATATGTGTACACTTATTTCTATTGTTGGATAACGTAGTGACTGAAAATTTTTTTAACATTTTTGGTGTAAAATAATGGGTACACAATTTTTCAAAAAATGGCAAACAAAAAAAAAAGATAAGTGAAGAGTGCAATCAGTGGAAAAGCATTGTAAAACAAATTAATTTTCAATTATCAAAAATCTTCTATAACATCATGAAACATAAATCACTAACAAAGTGGGTTTCATTATCACTACACTAGAAAAAAATACTTTTTACTATTGAACAGTTATTTTCTTTTGTGTAATCACTAAAATCTCCTTTTGTGTAATGATTAATTGCTCAAATTATTTACTATATATTTTTACAGGTAAAATAGCTTAAATGTCCTTAAATAATAATGATTATTATTAATAGATAAGCATAAAGCAGTAAACATTTTATCTTCTCTAAATCAGGAATCTTATATATGGTAATTGATTGTCCAATTTAACCTTTCTTTTGTTTAGTGTAGCCAAGCAATCTGTTGCAGGAAACCACCTGTCAGTAGGCCTGAGTTCGCAGCTGTCTGCTTAGGGCTGTCAAATGTTGGAAAGACAACCATTCTAACAAATTTATGTGGGGAGGATGAAAGTTCAATAGTGCCAACAGTAGGTGAGTAGAAGAAGACACTGCCTGATGCATTGTAATACATTATATATTTTTGTCACATTGAAAAAACAGATTAGCATTGATAAAACCTGCAAAATTTAATACAAATTAATTTATTATTATTATTTACATATCTTTATAGTTTACAGTGTGGCATGATTTGTTATAACTGAAAGATAAAAATGTTAAATTTTAAAAAATTAATTTGATACACAATTGATAAAAAGTTAGAAAGTGGCGGCAATAAAAGCATACACAGTGAAAATATATTGTAACAAGTTAAGAAATTATTAAGCACCTCATGAATGTAATTTAATTTATATTTTTTTATAATATTTTTACTGTATTTTTCTTGTCTTTTTTTGCAGGTTTTAGTATCAAGGCTGTCGGATTTAATGATGCCATTTTAAACATCAAAGAATTAGGAGGTTTGTGTAATTAATATGTCTATTTGTCATAGGCACATTAATCGCTAAGCCTGGCCAATCAGTGGTGTACTGGTACTCCAATAGTTACTAGTCCAGTAACTAAACTATGGGTGTTGGGGTCTGTGGGGACTTCTCATATTCAAAACTAATTTTGTATTTTATTCAGTGATTGAAATGTACCATTCCCCAAAGATGGACAGGTCTACCTCCAATGTAAAGATAGGAGCTAATCTCCCTCCATTTTTTACCACGTTTGATGAGTCCTTGTGTGTGCAAGTGAGAATGTACACATGTGCAAGTGCAAGTGTTAAAAATTAATTCATATTAGGAAAATCAATATAGGAAAAAACACTTACAATAGAATTAAAATGCATATTGAAATACAATTTATGCTACTTTGCTCACTAAATTTTTATTGAAATATGTTATGGTATTTGAAAGGAATAAGGCCTACTGTGTCTGACAGTTACAGTATTTACTTAATTTTAAGTTTATACCAACTACTACATCTCTTATGTTTTTATATTCCTATTCAGATTTAAGTTATTGTCTTGAAGCAGGCCATATAAAATATGAATTAATTTATTGTTTTTGGAAAAAAATAATATTAAATATTACATATCAAATCAGGTGCTGAGAATATTCGTCAGTACTGGAATCGTTACTACGATGGTGCTGAGGCTGTTGTCTTTGTGATTGACTCTGCCAGTGCTGAGGACAATATGCAGCAAATAGCAGATGAGATGAAGGCTGCCCTCTGTCATAACCACTTGAAAGGTTTGCCTCTACTGGTGCTTGCTCATTGTCAGGATAAAGATGGAGCCAGAGGCATTGAAGAGGTAATATGCTGCCACATATCACACTTTTAAAGTATTTTAGTATTAAATTATACGCTCGTGTTTTTAAAGGGACAGTCACACTAGTTTGAACTAAATTTTTTATTTGTCTGTTATGTTTGTAATGATTTATTGGGTAACCTTTCTGTTGTTATAATGTAAATTGGTATATTGCAGAATGAGCTGTATGAAAGTGTCATTATCATTGTTACTATAGTATATCTAACAATATTATTATTATTATTATTATTAGGCCTAAAAAAAATTCATTTGTTTGTTCTCCAGCGCCCGCCTCTAGCTCACTGAAAAATAGGTGCAGTGTTTAAAAAACATTTTTTTTTATTCAGTCTGATGAATACCCTTTGAAAAACAAATAGTGAGACAGCATTGCAATTTAATATGTTAATTTTGGTGACAGGAGAAAAACAAACTAAAAAAAAAAGTTTTTGCACCTGCCCCTCCTATACAATTTTTAGCATTAAAGTGCAAACAAACAATTTTTTTAGGCATTATTATTACTATTATTATTATTATTATTATTACTATTATTATTATTATTATTATTGTTATCAAAGAGTATTGAACTGCAAGAGGACCGATTCTTGTGGTTTCGTTGGAACATAATTCTATTTAAAATTGTACTGCCACAAAGGGGCGTTTCCTTAAAACACGAGTTTCGAGCGATAGGGCGCCCCCTATCTCCTGGCAGTACTTTCCATTGCATGCATATGAAATCAGGGCAGTCGGACCTCTTGCAATTCTATACTATTTGTTGTTATTGTTATTATTATTGTTGTTGTTATTGTTATTATTATTGTTGTTATTGTTCTAATTCTATTTAAAGGGACAGTCACACTAGTTTACATAAAGTTTAAAAGGAAGTCACTCATATATTCCTGGTTCTTTAAAGGTGTAGTCACCCTGTTTCACATGTAGTTTAAATGGGCATTATCATTCATGTTTGTTTTTGTAATTTTCAGATTACTGAATTACTTGATCTAGAGATGATTGGTGAAGGACGCCAGTGGATTGTTCATGCGAGTTCGATCAACGACAACTCAACAATTCGAGGGGGTTTTACAAAACTCATTCATTTGCTCCTTGGTACCGATGAAGTTGATTCAAATCGTATATGAACCCTTTAGACACTTTAATATTCAATTTTAAAAAACCAAGTGACTGTTTGCCATTGTATTCAGATGTTGAAATGTAAGGCTGAAGTAAAAGGTAGATTGTGACAAATTATTTGGGTAAGCAAACCGTTGGTTGGAAGTCCTTTGGAATTTTCAGCTGTGGGTAAAGAAGATTATCTGTCCGTAATGGAATATTAACAGCAAACGTACAAGGCTACATATTTTTCCATTCAATGGTTTTAATAAGAAATCAACAGAACAATGTTTCTCTATTTCTGTTCAAATAAACTGCATAGAAACAACAATTTCTCACATGAACCAAATTTATTAGCTTGTCATCTGGTTATTAGTCGCATGAACAATACTAGATCACTGATTGGTTAAATGTGAAGTGTTTAAGATACTTTCACATGATGACCGAAGAAATGCTCAGTGGAAAACCAATGTGTTTGGTATTAGAGAGGTTTGATATTCTGAAACATAATTCTTTAACTAAGTTTTTGTATTTTGCATATCTGCATGCAGCCTAATGAACAAGTGAATATTGTTTTTATTTTTGTGTGGGTTGTATCAACTGACTGCTAGATGGAATTATAGCTTGTCATGACAACATATTACTTGGCCGGGCACATACAACCAGAAGAAGCGTATGTTAAAGAAGTCAGTTGATAAAGATGTCTGTTTTAGAGATCAATACTTCTTGCGTTAGTGCTCAGTTTCTGGCTTACAAAAGCAATTGTCATCTATGTAATAACAAAGCTTTTTTGAACATATAAATTATATTTCCTTTGATTTTAGTCTACTATGATCTGGTAATAAGCCTGGTATTCAGAAATTACGGGTTTCCGACTTTTCTTATACTTCATAAGAAATTACTTGATTGGTAGATATTTTTAGGTTGGTTAATTCTGTATTTGAATTATTGATGCGTTTAGCAACTCTTGAGCCAATCACCAACGTTTTTAATTGTGTACAGTAGTTATATAAATATAGAGTAGCCTACACCAAAACCTTGTAAATTTATTTATGAATTAACAAGTTGCAACATAAGCCAGTTGTCCATAGCAATTTTACACTTTTAATTCAACTTTTGGTACATTATTTATTTGAGGATCCTACACTAAACATTGTCTTATCCAGAGAAATTTAGGAGATCTGACTAAAATGGATGAAAATAAGTCTATTTTGGTTCTTAAAAGATTTGTGTGTTGGATCAAACTACTTTATATTTTTAGTTTTGTATTTTATATTTACGAATAAGAGAGGAATGAATACTTTAAATAACGCTTAAAAAGAATGACATTTCAACTCCATCATGGTGGGTTTTTCGGTTCAGATAATGAGGTACATTCATGATGAGGTAGATTATAAGCAGTTGTATCCTGTCAGTTCTCAGATCCTGTGTAATTCATTTTGACCTTGAAAATCGCACCATGATCAAGTTAAAGGTCCTCCTTTTGTTGTTTTGTTTTTTAAGTATGTTTTATTCATTTGTATAATTGTCAGTAAAAGGTTAACTGAAGCAGTGACTTCGTGGTTAAGATGCTTTTGTTACTGTAAATACTAAATTATGTTTGCATGAAGATGCATACAGGTTGTCAATCTCATACCTTAATAAACCGACTATTGCCATTGTTCCTTTAATTAGAACACCTCTCGAAATAGTAGAACCGACTGTCCCAGGGCACAATGCCAATGTCATCCTCATTCTTTGGAGTCAAACTATGGCAGTACTGAAGTTGAGGCACTTTCCTACTTTGGTAATTCCCCCATTGGAAAGTTTGATGGGCCAAAAGGGAATGACAAGCAATTTTAAAAATTACAATTTTCTATTTTGAACTTTGCTAGTGAATGTTAGGAGTAAATTATATAATTGTCTATGGGTTTTATCTCGATGCTTGTGTTGTACGTACTATACTGTAGTTTAGCTGTTTTTTTTATTACTGTGTGTGCAATTTAAAACTAAATATGTAAAAGAAGAAAAGTTACGCTTTGGTGTATACTGTATTTGAGTGGTTGTTTTTCTTGTGAATGAATCTTGTTTTCCTATAAGTCATCCTACAAAAAGGAACCTCAAATGTGAAATTAGTTAAAAAGACTTTACTACAACCCTGGTAGACCTACTCTAGGAGGCATAGTCCACCTGTACCATATCCGTACCTTCTGTTGGGCTATGTACTTGCCCACCTTCTATCATAGATCACGATTGATACTGACCCTACACCACTCTATTGTTCTTAATTATTTGTAATAATTATTGACATGCAGCATTTTAAATTTTGCTGGCCAAATTTTACTGGCATATGCAACTGTTTTAAAGGTCCGAGAATATCTTCTCAATCTTCTCGATCTATTTATTTTCGTTGAATTCTATTAACTTTGAAATTGCTTACAAATTAAGAAATAGATTTTTTTAATGAAGTATTCAGTATATCAGAGTTTAATTGGCTTACTTAAATAGGCCTATTCATAATTCATGGTCAAATGACAGATCTAACAGTCCAAATGATACTGTGGTCACGTTTTATATAGATTAGAATCAAGTCTACTGTACAGGCTGCTGGAAATGTTATGTGTCTAAATGTACCTAAAAGGCTTTGAGCAAGTTTGAGCGTGCGTGATGTGTCGTGTGAATGTATGTTAGTACCACAGCTGAACTTTAAATATCAGTTAGGCCGATGGAATATGTTGCTATCTGTAATTGATAACTTAAGTGCTCCATTAATTGTTATTAGATTTCTCTGGTGGGAAAACCACCTGTGGTACCTACAGCATAATATGAGGGCTGCGAGCATCACGTCATATGTTATCTTATAGAGCAGCAACACTCTCCAGTACTTTAATTTTAAAAGACTGAATAATCTAACACGATCTCTCTTCGCTTTCACTAGCCAAATGAGTGTTTCCCCATCCCGTACCGCTACTTGTCCAGTGGTGGCTCAGGGTATCACATGCAGGGGACGTTAATGTGGTCTGACAAGTCCTGGCTGATAGGCATGGGGTTTGGAATTGGGGTGGGAGTTGCGGAGGTTTTGCATCCAACGAACGCGGCCACCACTTACCTAGTCACACTGGTAAACAATCTTCCAATGTCACTCATTGATAATATTGATAAGGCTGATGATTATTTCCAAACAGAGTACCGTACGTATACCATATCTTTGATTGTGATAACAGTTACATTTCTATAAAGAAAAAAAACCCGTCAGTACAGTTTTTGAAGGGCTGCGAGACAAGGCTTACTCAATCATTTGCCTGCAACATCATTACCAGAACACTTTACAGAGTTAATTTATTTCTTGTTTTTCTGAGAAGTTTGAATACTAACAAAGAACAATGATCTGGACGGTCTTTCTATTACTTTCTTGTGTTACACTGGCTCAATCCCAGGATAACAGTTGCCCAGGTATAAGTTATTTGAAATGTTTTATTTGTTCATTTGTGTCTTAAACATGCTGAATAATTCTAGTACATATGCAAGTTTTGGTGTTGCTATCCCGGTTGCTATTGGGTTATAAATGACCAGCTAAATACAACAGTCATTAAAGGAAAGCTGGAGCAATCAAATGTGCCTAAAATGGACACTGGTATATGGAACAAGATAATAAATGTATAGTCTTATATATATATATATATATATATCCTGTATACATATGCAATGTGCATGAAAACTACAACATAAATTATATAGACAATATTTATTATTCACAAATGATTGTATAACAATGGTCGACTGGGCCTAGATAGGCTAGGCCTTGTATGTTATTATTCAAACTAGCCACCTGCTTAATGAAATTATGATTTCATATTGAGTTTATCCTTTACTTGTTTTATGTTTATATAACTATGTTCAGTGCTACGCAGCTTACTATGATTTATTATATATAATACTCAAATTAGTTTGCACCTACTTTAAGCCAACTAATAGGTTACAATATAAACCTACATATAAATGTATGAACAACTTTTTCCTTGTGATGTGGTACCGTTGTTTGTTTGAGAAAAAAATATTTATTATTATTATTATTATTATTATTATTATTATTATTATTATTATTTTCAGATATGCATCAGTATGATTCACATGGAGCGAAAGCTGTCGTAAAATACCTGACAGTCGAGGCAACACCCGATTCAAAGGCAGTGACAAAGCGAAAGGTTGTGTTGCCAGCGGGCTCAACCCTACTTCAAGGAATGCTAGTCGCACAGTATGAGGATGAGCTTGGAGAATTTAGGTAATTTTTTTAGATAGTAAAAAATTCCAAAATGTATATATTGTTCTATTATTACTCATAAAGCTGATAATACAAACTCAGAATCAATGCATTATTCTCTATCATGAATTAGTACAAGCTATAAGGCCCCGTAAAAAAATGTATTAGTTTATCACCCGCTCCCTCATCACTTTTGGGGAAAATCTGATTTTTTTTTTCCAATCAACATATATTTTTAATTCAAACGGTCCCTTTTCTATCTTTTTTCAATTGAAAAGCTTAGGATTTCTTGCAAATATGTTTACTGGTACAACAAAAACATATTTTTTAAATATAAATTTGATTCCATTCTTATGACTTCTTATATATGTGTCTCTAACCATTGATTTACTTGTGATCATCGGTAAAATGGGGGCGGGGTTAGGAAAAAAAAAACACCTTCCTCCCTCATCAGTGTTTATTCTTTGATAGGGTGATAAACTAATAATTTTTTTTATGGGGCCTAATTTCCAATTGTTTATTCATCTTGAGAAAACAAAGGGGAATGAGGTTCTTTTTGTTTTTCTGGCACCAATCACTTTTCATATCAAGCCGTTATGCAGCCAACACCGAAGTGCAACGGCGAAAATGGACAAAAGCAGCAATATTTTTATACCTCCTTGATCAAAGGGACGGGGCTTGGTAGAAAGATCCATCGGACAGGGGCTAAGGTAGTCCTAGGCCTATGTCATTTTACCTTATTTGGTAAATATGGCTTCAACAGCAAGTATATAAGCACCAACTGGAGGAGCCAGAGTGATGTTAATAATGCTTATGTTTTATGCAAATACATAATCTGTTCATATGGATGTGATATGACATCATTGTGCCCGGCAACTACACTACTTGAGACAGGAAACATTGACACCTGATACATAGTCTAATTATGAGGCTTGAAAGAGTTTAATGCAGGATTTGAACCCTAAAAATTACGTTGGTGATTTTTCTGCTTAGTACATTTTAAGTCACTGGTTTGCATCTTAATTTCAAACAATCGTTTGATCTTTTTAAATTCTAATTGTAGTTTTAACTTTAATGAGTTTTATGAGATAATGAAGTGTTTTTTAGTAATAACTACTGTAGGACTTCCACTATTGTAAAATAATGTAGTGTTTTTTAACAAAATATTTGAAAGGAATTCTGTGAGACGGGTGCAAGGGAAAAATAATAATATGACTGTGATGATTTCATGCTTATTAAAACTTAAATATAAAATATGTTTAATAATCATCATAGATTTGAAACCAGCTACCATGCGCAGTATGGTCACTTCATGACGTCAATCAACGGCGTCAAGAACAGTCATCCATTCTACTGGACTGTGTATGATGCTGACACCAATACACCTCTATCTTGTGGTAAATATTATAGAGGCTTTGGATTGCATTCTGGTATCACACTAGGTGTAGAGTGAAAACAGGAATTCCCTTCTTCGCCGTTTTATTTCCAAAAAAAACATGACCACATCCATGTTTAAAGAAAAAACTGTATCCATTCCCTACGTAAACGCCCATTATTTTATCCCTGTGAATAATAAATATATTTAAGGCATATGTCATATATTTTTTGTAGGCCATACTAAAAAAACGTACTGGTATTTTCATTGAGAGCTGTTTTCAACAGGATTTAAATCTAAACCAATATTTTAAGGAATCATTCTGTCTCATTATTATTTCTACAGTACTGCAATTTTCATACGCACATATTACATATGTATAGGCCTATTATACACATCTATGTATGAATACCAAATTAATGTGAAGTTATCATTACCGGTTTTACTCAATGATGAATTTATCATTACAGGTGTCGACTCTACATATCCAGAACATGACGAACACTTTCTCTGGAGATATGAAGAATGCTGTACTGAGTAGTATTAACATTTCCAAATTGTAGCTAAAACAATAATAAAATAATGAAGGATTATATTGCATTTCCATATTTTATGAATAAAAAGTAGTGTTGTCTCTGAATGTCAATAAAATTTGAGTATAGTTCCTAAGCATTCTATTCTTTTTTGAAGCATTGTCAGATATGATAACTGACCCTGATCACTTAGCTTAGAGGACAGAGAAGGATGAATGGTATATCACTATAACAAAGACAGCGCTTAGCACGAGATCCGGGCTCATAACATTGATGTTGTTTCGATAAATACAAAAAACAATACTTGTTTATGACTCCGAAAAAATACTTTTCCCCTGTCACACTGTAGCGAATAGAGCCAAGTTGACATTCGTTCGTGACCCGTTCGTAATACGTTTGACATACGTTGTATTCGTTAGCTGACTGTTCGTAGGGGTACGCTTGGGTCGATTTTAAATTTTGGACATGTTCAAAATTTTGAACGTATGACAACGTTCTGCTAAATACGCCATGTATACGGTGAGCATTCGTTGTTTGAACGTTTAGCACGTTGGGTTTACGTTTTCCCTTCGACCGTTGTTCGTCCAAATACGTTCAATCCATCTGAAACTTTGCCATAGCGAATGCATAACGTAGGCCCTATACTAGCGTTTGTCTAACTAATGGGTAACGAATGGCCAACGAATACTCAGAGTATACCGACCTACATTAATTTTCACATGGCGTCTATCTAACGTGCTTGTGCGTGCACAGTACAGCTACAGATCACGTAGCGTTTTTCAGTCTGTGACGACACAGCGGCTGCGAGTATATGCTTTTCTTCATTATATCTACTCAGATCTGAGATGGAGGATGCTCATCAGCGAATCCTCATGGGTCTGAGAGGTGGTGCAACCCCTGCGTTTGGTTCTCTTCTTTGAAGACTGCGAGACAATGGACTTCAGATTACTAAGTGACCAGGCATCGGAGTCACAATGATGGGTAAAAGGGGGGGGGGGGTTAGGTGATCGAGTCTGTCCGGACAGGGGTGCTTGGAGGTGATGCAGCCTCTCGACGGCAGCTATTGTAGTATTGACTGTCCACTTGGTTGGTAGATTTATGTACCTTGGGAGGCATAATGAAGCAATTTTGAACTGGTCTGGCACTATCCGAGGTAACTTGTGAAAAGTGTCGGTCGACCTAGTCGAGATACGTCATGTTACTGGCAGCAGCATGCTAGGCATACATGTAACATTCGCTGGACATTCGTTGTGTATGCTCAGCATTCGTTGGACAAACGCTACGAACGCGCTTTCATTTGTTAAATAAACGCTAGTTGTACCATCAGCGTTCGTTCCTCATTCGTTGGGCATTCGTCTTTTACGCAAGAATGTTTGTTTTTTGCCAAAAATTTGAGCTTATCTGGACTTCGGAGAAAAAAAATCAGTACGCTCGGCATAGTTAGCTCTATTCGATATGACTGGGCCATAAGAAATGTTACTTTTTCTTTCGCATTCGCAGATTCCCCTTCTTCACCGTCACGTTCCCTGTGCTTTCCCCTTCTTGATCAAACATAATAGTAAATTCATGGAGATAAAATGGTAAAATATACTTTGGACGTTAACAAAGAAAAAAAAAGGAAAAGAAAGAAAGCAATAGTGTAGAGATTTCATGGAAATAGAGAGAACAGGGTACATTTTTACGGAAGCACCTAAGTGCCATTCGACTTGACGACTTGTCAAGATAATTTATGTTGTCAAGTCGACATAATATACATATCATGTCGACATGGCGAGATAGATTATCTTGACAAGTCGTCATAGTAAAAATGTTATGTTGTCTTGGCGAGATAGGTTATCTTGACAAGTCGACATAATAAAAGTTATGTTGTCATGACAAGATACAATTTGTATTATGTCGACTTGTCAAGATAATCTATCTCGCCATGACAACATACAACTTTTACTATGTCAACTTGCCAAGATAATCAATCTCGCCATGACAACATACAATTTTTACTATGTCGACTTGTCAAGATAATCTATCTCGCCATGACAACATACAATTTTTACTATGTCGACTTGTCAAGATAATCTATTTCGCCATGACAACATACAATTTTTAATAATAATAATAATAATAATAAGATTTATTAAGCGCACATCTCCACTAAAGTGCTCAAGGCGCTATGTCGACTTGTCAAGATAATCTATCTTGCCATGACTACATACAACTTATATTATGTCGACTTGTCAAGATAATCTATCTCGCCATGACAACATACAATTTTTATTATGTCGACTTGTCAAGATAACCTATCTTGCCATGACAACATGCAACTTATATTATGTCGACTTGTCAAGATAATCTATCTCGCCATGACAACATACAATATGTATTATGTCGACTTGTCAAGATAACCTATCTTGTCATGACGGCATGATATGTATATTATGTCGACTTGACAACATAATTATCTTGACAAGTCGTCAAGTCGAATGGCACTTAGGTGCTTCCGTACATTTTGACAACCAAAATAACATATTTTTTATTAGTAAATACATTTTATTTCTTTCAAATCCAACACATGTCACTCGCCAAGAGACTTGGGAGTAGAGTAATTATTAGTCGTGAGAAAAAGCCCTGCTGTTAGAATTGAACTCAGGAAACTGGAATTAGAAGGCAAGCATCCACTATAATGGGCTTTACTGGTTTCGTCGGTACTAATTCATCAACTTCACACCACTATCAAATCAATAGTTTAGAGTAGGCCTACGGTAGTTTCAATTCCACGGTATTTTTATGCATATGTTGTGATATCACTAGGAGTTAAATTGGAATGGTTGGCACAATGAAAGCAATTAATTTGGGCTCTCAATGCTTAGGTTGTGGTTCATTTCACTTGTGTCCTTGTGCAGCTATCTATCTATTTCACTGTTTAAATTAATTTAACACCTGATATTTTAAAATGAATTAACAGGACACATCAACAAAAAAGATCTTGTTTTAGTTAGCATGGAGGGAAATAAGTCAAGCCTCTTCCTTTAACTTTCAATTATTTATTTGATCAACATAATAATACCGCTGATCTGTAAGAAAATATACAATAAACAACCAAAAATATATAAATTATCACAGAAGCATCAATTAAAACGTGCAAGGAATAACTTTTGCAAGGTTTAACTAATGTAAGTTTTGTAAGGGACAGATATCAGTGGCATCCGTGGATTTCGAAGAGGGGTTGGGGTGGGGTGGGTGCTGGATATCATTACATCCACTGAACTTTCAGCAAGGCGATAAACTACAGGGACGGAGCATATCTTTGACTTTGACTTCACCGTAAGTTAGAAGTTAATGCCTAGGCCTAATCATGGGTGGCGCCAGCGGGGGAGGGGGCGTCGGGGACAAACCCCTCCCCACCCCGCCATTAAGGGAGAAAAACCACAATTTGTCGGGGAGAAAAAATATATATTTGTATTTTGTACAAATATTCGGTGGCTTCGCGCCACACCCCCCCCCCCCCACTATTAATATTGGACTTGTGTGATCCATCAGTGATTAATCAATCAATCAATCAACGTTAAATTGATTTTACCAAAGAAAACAAAAAACAAAATACAATGGTGAGGGACCAGTTCAGAAGCCTAGGCTTGTCTCCGCTGTCCCTTTAACAAACACACAAACAAAACAAACAAAAAAAGATCATAAAAGTACCTATTGATAATTGGAAATAATTTCCTTTTTTAGGAGTTTACTAAAAGTCTTAAGAGTATTTGATGTTTTTAGTTTACTATCAATATTGTTCCATACATGCGGGCCATGGAAACAAATTGAGAATTGGCTTTAAACCCACCAAATGCTACTATTATCATAAATAAGCTCTAGTTCTGCTCTTATGTAGAGATTCTGTCATTTCCTGTTTGCTCTGTTTTCTCAAGTTTCTTCTTAAGATTCCAGGTGTATTTTCATTACTACTAATGGCGGTTAGATTATTCCTTTGACATAAATCGAACCACTAAACGACAGTCAAATTCAGCCGAATTCTTAATCCAGAAAACGGTAAAAACACATCTTTCCTTTTAATCAGTCGTAACTACCGCATTATTTACCTCTATTGGCAGCAAGATGTGTATAAGAGACAGCAGTATATCAGCGCTTTTCGTTCAGTGGTTCGTTCTGCACACGAAAGCGTTAACTGACGGCTCGGCAATGTAGGTCTTCATTCATGAATGGCTCTTATTAACGAGCTTATGGTTACAGTCACGGAACTGTTGGCCAATCAGATTGAAGATAGTCACCGGCCTCCAGTACATAGCTCCTGTCCTTTTATGCGGATGAATTGTTTCGAATAACCACCTTAATTGCGAACTTCACTAATGATCCAATAAATGAGATAAGCTATTTTAAACGGTTTATGATGTCGGGACAGGTTGTGTTCATAAGCACTCGGTTGTGAATTTCAATCAAAGGCCTATAAATCAAGCATTCACAATCAAGCTCAGTGTGCACACGGCATTATAATCAAATAATATGTAAAACAAAGGACCAAGTATTATTTACTCATAGTAAATTTTTTACTATATTTTCTCTCATATAATTTTTTTTTCGGTAAATGATTTGAAGTATTTTGTTGATTTAAAGGCTTAGGCTTAGTGGTCATCCTTAATGTCCTAATTCTCGTTTCTTTTTCTCAAGTGTTATTCTCATAGGCAGTTTATGCTTGAGAAGGCACTTTATCCTCATTGTCTCTCTCAACCCAGGAGTACAAGTGGGTACCTGGTCAACTGGAATGCTAATGCATTGAGCGCTAGCTGCAGAATTACAACGTACATTCTCATGAAGCTGGTCGCTTCAATGGCGTTGGATCCAATGACTGTACATATCGTCATCATTATAATACCTGTCTCTTATACACATCTAGATGTGTATAAGAGAGGGTACATTTTGACAACCAAAATAACATATTTTTTATTAGTAAATACGTTTTATTTCTTTCAAACCCAACACATGTCACTCGCCAAGAGGCTTGGGAGTAGAGTAATTATTTGTCGTGAGAAAAAGTCCTATTAGAATTGAGCTCAGGATACTGGAAAGAAGGCAAGCATCCACTATAATGGGCTTTACTGGTTTCGTCGGTACTAATTCATCAACTTCACACCACTATCAAATCAATAGTTTAAAGTAGGCCTACGGTAGTTTCAATTCCACGGTGTTTTTATGCGTGTGTTGTGATATCACTAGGAGTTAAATTGGAGTGGTTGGCACAATGAAAGCAATTAATTTGGGCTCTCAATGCTTAGGTTGTGGTTCATTTCACTTGTGTCCTTGTGCAGCTATCTATCTATTTCACTGTTTAAATTAATTTAACACCTGATATTTTAAAATGAATTAACAGGACACATCAACAAAAAAGATCTTGTCTTAGTTAGCATAGAGGGAAATAAGTCAAGCCTCTTCCTTTAACTTTCAATTATTTATTTGATCAACATAATAATACCGTCGATCTGTAAGAAAATATACAATAAACAACCAAAAATATATAAATTATCAGAGAAGCATCAATTAAAACGTGCAAGGAATAACTCTTGCAAGGTTTAACTAATGTAAGTTTTATAAGGGACAGATATCAGTGGCATCCGTGGATTTCGAAGAGGGGTTGGGGTGAGGTGGGTGCTGGATATCATTACATCCACTGAACTTTCAGCAAGGCGATAAACTACAGGGACGGAGCATATTTTTGACTTTGACTTCACGGCCGTAAGTTAGAAGTTAATGCCTAGGCCTAATCAGGGGTGGCGCCAGCGGGGGAGGGGGAGTCGGGGACAAACCCCTCCCCACCCCGCCATTAAGGGAGAAAACCCACAATTTGTCGGGGAGAAAAAATATATATTTGTATTTTGTACAAATATTCGGTGGCTTCGCCCCCCCCCCCCAATTAATATTCGACTTGTGTGATCCATCAGTGATTAATGAATCACTCAATCAATCAACGTGAAATTGATTTTACCAAAGACAACAAAGAACAAAATACAATGGTGAGGGACTAGTTCAGAAGCCTAGCTTGTCTCCGCTGTCCCTTTAACAAACACACAAGAAAAACAAACAAAAAAATATCATAAAAGTACCTATTGATAATTGGAAATAATTTCCTTTTTTAGAAGTTTACTAAAATTAGTCTTAAGAGTATTTGATGTTTTTAGTTTACTATCAATATTGTTCCATACATGCGGACCATGTATACAAATTGAGAATAACATAGGGCCTATATATTTATATATTGAGAATATAGGCCTACATAAAGAATACTGATGAATGTTGGATATGCACATTTGTCTGTATAGAATTCGAGGCTAGGCTTAGTCGAAAACAGTGACCATATTTATGATTGAGGAAATCAAAGATAAATACAGATCCGCAATCGTTAGAGCCGAAGTGATAAGAGTTAATATGCGATGTGTCATGGTGTTAAGCGCTAAATCTCTTCAAAGGGGCTTAGAACTAAAGAGGTCAGAGCTTATGTTTGAGCGCTTAGCCAAATAGGCGGAGCCAAAGAAAGGAAGCAGGAGAAATATATTTAACATTTATAAGAATTTGTTTTAAGTGATCTTCTCATTTAGTGAGTCTTTCTCATACTTATTGTAGTACTTATCAACCTGAAACCATGATCTGGACGGTCTGTATGCTGCTCTCTTGCCTTTCACTAGCCCAATCCGAGGATAGTTGTCCAGGTAGAGTCAATTTAAACTTTATAAAATTTTGTATTCATCTATCATTATAGCGTAAAATCATCGTGTAACTTCTTCAAACTTAGGTCTAACTTTCCAAAAAGTCTAATTTCTTTTATTTTAGGACTAGTATTTCTGAAAGTCTAAATTATTTCTTTCAACGTTAGGATCAACTTTTTACTTCACGTTGTGTTTAATTTTGTTTGTAAAAATTAGGTAAGCATTTGATTTAATTAATTCAATTTGCTCTTTAAAAATACAAGACAGAACCAAATGAACATTAACAGATCAAATCAGACAAGGACATATCTCCCTAAAAATATGAAAACTTTGAAGATTAAAAAGACAATAACAAAATATAGAGATATATAAAAAAAACAAATACAGATTTAGTCCTCAATTATCCTTCATTAACTTTCAATATTATTACCACTTCTAATAAAATATATGATAATATGATAATAAAATACAATACAATACAATACAATATACTTTATTCGCAACTAAAAACAGTTGAATTGCACATACATAAGAAGTTTAAAAATTGCCTTAAAAGTTAAAAACATCAAAACGGAGACGGTAAACAAAATTACACAAAGCAAAACAGAGAATATTATCATACTTATTATCAAAGTAATAACGATAATTATAACAATATTATGATTATTATTATTATTACTATTATTATTATCATTATTATATTTATACAATTTATTGTGAAAATTAAGAGATTACAAAAAGAAAGAGTGAAAAAAAAACTAACAACCAGAAAGACATTAATATAAAAAAAAAAATACAATAATAGACCTACTAAAACTAATTAGGCCTAACATTGGATCTTTTAAAATCTTTTAAGGATGATTCTTAGCTATCATTTTAACACTGGATCTTCTTTGTAACCCTCTTAATGATGATTCTTGTCATTTTAAAACTAATCTCTTTTATAATTATAATGCCGATTCCTACATAACACAATACTGAATCTTTTAAACCTAGAATTTGAATTTTATAATATCTTTAATATTTTACTATTGACATGTCAATATATGAATCATGAAACTTGATTATATAAATAGTGGCCTAATAATAATAATAATAATAACAATAATAATAATAGGGCTAATAATAATAATAATAATAATAGGGCTAATAATAATAATAATAATAATAATAATAATAGGGCTAATAATAATAATAATAATAATAATAGGGCTAATAATAATAATAATAATAATAATAATAATAATAATAGGGCTAATAATAATAATAATAATAATAATAATAATAGGGCTAATAATAATAATAATTTGTTAGTCTTGTTGCCGTTATTGCTTCAGTTGTAGAAGACGGACGTCTAATTCGAAATGGAATAGGGATCGGCTTCCTTCTATAATCCGCGGAAATATCTCTTCCTTTAAGAATAAAAAATGAAGTTAAGTTTCAAGTGCAATGTAAATAATTTATATATTCATAATATATGAGCTAAATCTACTTGAAGTTATGTCATACAACATTGTACTTCTGGTAAGGCTAGAAATGAGGTGACGTCCAAGGGGACTTTACCGAAAATATTTTTTCATAACCAGGAATAATATTTTTTAATTCGAATAAAATTCTCTTTTTGAATTTAGAAAAAAAAATATATGTTCTTAAATTTAACCTTTTCCCCAGTTATAGGTTATATTAGTGTGAGGATATAGGTTGATCAATATTTTTCCAATTTACTTACTTGAATAGGTTACCTTACTTTTCCCTGTAAAGCCTACCTGTTTATTAATTCAATTAAATGCATCATGATTACGGCTGAAGTTAGAAGTGTTAATTAATTTGTTTAGCCTGTAATTATTTTATCAGATAATGTTTTATAATCAGTGTTAAGAGAATTTTAAACACACATCGAAATCGCATTTTCAGTACCCGCTAAGAACAAGCTCGGTGGTCTAATGGTTATGACACCAGACTAGTTATATGGCGGTCGTGGGTTCGATTCCCATCCGAATTACTACTTATTTTCGTTTTGGAACGCTACATAAGTATTCGGTATGATAACGCGACATGTAGGGCAATACATCACTCCTATATTGTTTTCCTGGCGCAAACACATCGAAATATTAAAAATATATACATACGGAAATAGGTTATCTTTTTTTCATTTTCAAATTTTAAATAGCCTTTGAAACCCCTGAATTGTCAAAATTTTCGGGGCTTCACCCCCAGGACCACTTTTGGAACCTATTAATTGAAGCTTATAAATAATGATTATTATAGGGCACTATTAATATTATATTTTGCTAGTATGACTAATGCCAAAAAAGTATGAGATAATGTTTCCTTAATACCAATATTGTGCACCCATGAATATATTGTTTATAATGATTACATTGTGAAAGTAATGTTATATACCTTAGGCAATCGTCTTTCTCAATATGCAACACTATGCAGTTGAGTGGGTTTCTCATGATAAACTATTACATAATAGGTATTAATGCCAGTTAAGTTTTAAGTCTTTCATAAAATTTGCAGTTGAGTGCGTCTTTGCTGACAAAAGTAACACCCATAGAGAAAATAGAACAGACTTGCAGTTGAGTGATATTTTAGTTTTTAAATTTCATATTTTCCGTTATAATTTCAAAAATCTGAATATATCACAAGGTGTATATCCCCAAAAGTGCAAAACGCTGAAAAGGTGCATTTTAAAAAATTTGTCAGTTGAGTGGTTTTTTTTTTGGTTTTTTTTATAACACCTAGGGCAGTATTATTATCATTATATCATCATTATTAGGCTTAATGTGTCTATTATTATAAAAATGCTTAACGTTTGGATGTGTTGAATTAGGTAGCCTAAGTCATGGACGGATTGGGGATAAACAGGGTTAAACCGCCCACCCCCTAAGATTTTATTGCTAAAATAATAGACCAGTAAGTTGGCCTCAATTTTAAATTTTAAGACCTCCAAGAATATTAGTTCATCAAAAGA